CTTACTCCATAAAGACAAGTTCACCTAAAGTGTGGGAAGAAGTGTCTCAGTTAAAATGGTTCAGGTTTATTACACTGAGTTTAATGATGCGAACAAGCATCCATGTTTAAAATCATCCAATGATTTGCTGTGATGGAAATAGACACAGATGAATATAAAGAATAAACACATACAGGATTTGTGACATTTTGGACTTTGATTGTGTTTAATAATAATAATAACAATATGAATAATAACAATATGAATAATTATAATGATCAATCAATCAATCAATCAATCAAAAGGGTAAAACTTCAAAACAAAGCGGATCTTGAGGAAATACAAGGGCGCCAACTGCTGGACGCGTTGCGCAAAGACGTGTGACGCAGTGTGCAGGACTGTGAAGGTTTGTAGTTCTAAATAATACAAATTATTATTAATATAAATTTGATCTTAACCTTCTTGCATGAAAGCTTTTATAGTGTCATCAAGGTTCATTTTCAGATGTGACTTCTAAACTTCAGAAGTAATAGATTACTGCTTTATCTATCTGTACACACACGTCACTACATCATCATCAACTTTACGTTAACTCTGTCTGTCTGTCACTCACTCACACAAAAGTGATTAAAGCCAAAAAGTCATGACAACAGAATGTTGGGGCTCCTCTCCCTTTCCTTTATGCTGCTCCTGATGCTGCTCCTGATGCTGCTCCTGATGCTGCTCCTGCTTCCCTCCATGCTCCTCTCCCTTTCCCTTATGCTGCTCCTGCTTTCCTGATGCTGCTCCTGCTATCGATTATGTTCTCTTTCCTTTCCCCCCTTCTCCTCTCCCTTTCCTTTATGCTTCTCCTGATTCTGCTCCTGATGCTGCTCCTGCTTTGTCCTTATGCTCTTCTCCTTTTCCCTCACCCCCTCCTCCTTTCCCACATGCTCCTCTCCCTATCCCCCCTTATGCTGCTCCTGCTTTCCCTCATGCTGCTCCTGATGTTGCTCCTGGTTACCCTCATTCTGAGTTGGGGTGAGGACATCCCTCAGCTTGATGACCCTGGGTTGCTCTCCTCCACACTCCTTGCATGTAGCAGGACTGTTAATAGCAGGTGGACCAAAAATGCAGAACCAAAAAGTATGTAACCAAAAGTGTCCTTTAATTTCAGGCAGGGTGAACGTAACAAAAAGAAATCTCCAAGAAATGAAAAAATGCTCTCAGGCAAAATGGGAGCAACACAGGAAAAGACTTGAAACGTGGCGAGAGGTGACACAACACATGGCCATGACAAGGACATCCAACAACGACGACTGACAAATCCATGGAGGAGCACAAAGACTTAAATCCAAACTGAACTGATGAGTAGAGACAGGAGGCACAGGACAGACAGGGGAGCCTGACGAGGGCAGGAAGTCTGGGGGGAAAACACACCAGGAACAGGGACTACAAAATAAAACAGGAACACTGAGAGGACCTCGGGGTGAAGCACAGGGTGGAACACAGAGGGGGACACAGAAAGGAGCAGAGTGGGACACAAGCAAGGGACACAGAGCAAGCTTAAAACATGAATTCAAACGTAACGAAAACAGTTTAAACGTGAACTGAAACCTCTCTTTATAAAAGAGGACAAAAAATACAGTAAACATGACAATCGTCTGTTATCATCGGTTTTATAATACAACACTTTGTTACTTTGATTTGAAAGGTGCCATGTAAATAGTTATTATTGTTATTGTTATTAGTAGTAGGTTTCCAATTTCAAATATTTTTTTCTTTGAATATTTGCTGTTTTAAGTGTGTTTGATTATGTCACAGAGAATAAAGTTGTGTCGTACAAGTTGAACTGAAACTGTTTCATATTTTTCCACTGGATGAAGAAATCAGTTTAGTTTCTTCCTTTAATTCATCAGCCATCATGTGTATCTAGAATCAATTGGTAAAAACAATCAAAGAATGGAGCTCAGCCAGAGACATATGCAGCTTCACCTGAACTGAACTCCGACGATCTGTCAGAGTGACCTCCACACACAGGGACACAATCCAGCCAGTTTATGATTCAAAGGTGCAAATGTTGTACACGCTGAGACAAAATACACCTCCAGGCATGCATGAGTTAACACAGAAACGTGTACATGAGCATCACCCTGTTGCTACATGTAAGCTAGCTGTGGGGCAGTCCTCTAATCAGAAGCTTATCTATCCAACAGTCCAGTTTCCGCTGTAACACACATGAAATACATGGCAATACTTATACTACATCTATAGAGATTGACACACTCACAATAAAACACATTCATCCTATATGACGGTCAGCAGAGACCACGGTACGGACATAGTTAATTATAGGCAATTATGGACGGATACGGCAACACACACCCTCGTCTAATGCAACGTTAACAGTCATCATGTTATTTCGCAGTATCATGACATACAGGCAATGCACATACGATTTACACAGGGATGAGGAAACTCTGGGAACATTAAAAGTCTAACACATTTTGCGTAGAAATAATTCATTAATTCTAAATCTAAAGTTTCTAAACTTGTAAAAAGTGTTAGTTTGTAACAAATTAGTTTGTTGCCTTTTAGTCCAGTCTTCAGTTTTATTATGCTTTTGTATGTAAGCTTCTGCTTGAATGTAGCATCTGAGGGGTGTTTTAAGGACATCACTATGTTTGGGAACTAAAAATGTGTATCATATGGAACCTTTAAAAACAAAATCAGAAGGTTAGGTACATTCAAAACTACAGTGGATTTTGAAACTGATCTCACTGCAGAGAGGGAAGTAGTGTAGCTTCCTGTTTGGAGCGGTGCCTGTGTGGCAGCTTCGCTGTGTGAGAAAAGATTAACGCATCACATCGGTCAGAGGTGAAGCTTCAGTGACCTCCATGCTTGGCCTTCCCCATGTTCACATGCCCTAGTCCTGTGAAACAAAAACCCACCAACCATAACAAACTGCAGCGAGGTTTGTGTGTGTGTGTTATGTTTTGGATCATATAGAAGAAACTCAGCTCTGAAGAGAACTTCAAGGGGAACAGCAATGATTTTATGTTCGCTTGTCACAGGAGATGCTATTGACTCCATGAAAACAACTGTATAATGTCCTCTGTGGCCTCGGAGGAGAATGAACCTGAAATGTCATTAGAATCATATTTACTTAGTCATGAGACTTTTCAGAGGAAAGCCAGGATTTCAAAAGAGGCTGTGATTGAAAGTTGAAAGATGTAGGCGTTTCCTCAGCTCATAAATGTGACTCATAAACTCAAGGTTTGTCGGCCTCTGCTACATCAGTTTAACCCTTTTAAAACCTGCCTCTTGCAAAAGCCATGTTAACTAAGAGTGGGTGAGTGACACCCTCAGGGGCCTCTAAGAGCCCTGGTTCACTTTGTAGTAATTACACAGATGTCATTTGATCATATGAGAAACTGAAATAGTTGGATCCTTAAGATGGTTTCTGCATTCACACCTGATTCTGCAAAAACAAAATATAGCACAACAATATCTATTGCAATACAATATCAAAATCAATAAGAATAAAGCTACAACTGCAAAAATTAGTGTTTTACATTTTCTGTTTTTGGAAGACATCTTTAGAGGAATTGTCTTTATTTGAAACAAGGACATTGTGATTACAGACACAACTACTGCTTACACATATTTAATATTAAAAAAGACTTAAAATCTTATCTTATTTTATCTTATCTCACCTCATCTCTTCTTTTCTTATGTTATCTTATCTCGTCTGACCTTATCTCATCTCATCTCTTCTTATCTTATCTTAAGACCTAACATGGTTGTCTCATCCAAGCTATTTCCAACTATATTATTTGTAGTGCAGGCTGTGCAAAAAAAGCGGTGTCTTTGGCTGTGTGCCACCTCTATGTACAGATTGCTTGTGATGATGATGATGAATTTGCGTGTGATACGTTTAATGCACCTCAGTTAAATTAAAGTAAACACGTGTCTCTGGGGACCAGGGCTGCGGTGGGAAGCCCCATGACGGGGTTAAAGGTACAGGAGCGTGGGTCAGCTGATGCGTAGCGTCACGTAGTGAGCGCTGGTGGGGCGGGAGGAGGCTGGTCCTCTCTCTGAGCTCCCGGCTGCAGCTTCCTGCCCGCTGCTGCTGCTGCTGCGGACAAACTGCTGATTGTCATCACCGATCATGTCCCTCGCTCTCCGTCTGGCCCTGACGGCAGGAAGTTAGCCTCGTTCCCTCCTGACAGCCCCATCCCCTAGGCTGGCTCTGTGAAGCCCACACCGGCAGAGGAGGCCCCTCTGCGCCGCTGCGCTCCTGCTCATGGAGGCCCGGGTGGTGGAGGAGCTGGAGCCGATGGACGAGTCCCTGCCTCTGCCCACCCTGAGCCCCGCCGTGCCTCCCTACGTCACCCTGGGATTGACGGTGGTCTACACGGTCTTCTACTCGCTCCTGTTCATCTTCGTGTACGTGCAGCTGTGGCTGGTGCTGCGCTACCGACACAAGCGCCTCAGCTACCAGACGGTGTTCCTGTTCCTGTGCCTGCTGTGGTCGGCGCTGCGCACTGTGCTCTTCTCCTTCTACTTCAGGAACTTTGTCACGGCCAACACTCTCGGACCCTTCCCCTTCTGGCTGCTCTACTGCTTCCCTGTCTGCCTGCAGTTCTTCACCCTCAGCCTCATGAACCTTTACTTTGCTCAGGTGAGTGGTCAGACACTGCTGCCATGTAGTGGAGCTGCAGCTGCTCCTGTGTAACGTGTGGACTGACTTCAGATCAGTGAATGTGCAGGGATTTTTATTTCAAGATTCTCCCCCTCATGTGGGTGTTTGACCTTCGATATTACAAATCAAAATGCATCTGCATCGTTTCCTCTTTCATCCCTATTGTTTTGTGGAGGTTTAAAACAAACACACATCATATTTCATATTACAGAGGAAATGTAAAAGAACAGTATCTGCTTATACTGCACAATGTGAAGAATATCATAGGTTACTCCCATACAGCATTTTCAGCATGTTAGAATCAAGAGAGAGCCCATGTGAACTCAGGGGAAAAGGTAAGTTAAAAAGGAATAAAAACAAGGGTAAGGATTCATAAAAATAATAGAGGGAGTAAATATGATGAAGAACTAAAAACATGTGGCTCACTTTGCAGTACACATCTCACCATTAGAACTTTGACCGGTCGAAATAGAAATATAAGTCTTGTCAGGAGGGAACCTTGAAACACACATACAGCCCTCCTGTGAACTAGGGACTGGGACTTACAGGTGGTGTGCAACCAGTGGAAAAAATGTAAACTAGTACAGATTATTTGAAGAAAGAGGAAATTGAATTATAGCTTTAGAAGTTGACAGTTCATTAGCACTGGGCCTATATAGATTATGGCAAGAGAATGCGATTGCAACCTTTGTTTTCATTACAAGTCAATCTTTGGATATGTTTATTTTTACCAATTTAGTGATTCATGGGTTGATCAACAATCAGGGAAAAAGTCCATCACAAGTTACCATAACATTTTGTTGTCTGAATTTGTTATTGCACATTCAGTGTGCAATAACACACACACAAAGCAGAATGTTCCCAGATGATGATCATTTTATGATTTCAGCTCTTAATAAAAGTATTCATCCAACACAGACACATACTGTGACATGAAAATGTGTGAAAATTGATGACTAATGCATTTAATTCTGGTCCAGTCTTTAGTGGGTAATATTGTCAGCCTGCACAACCCCTCTGAAAGTTTCAATTCAATTTACAGCACTTACTTTTTCACCCCGTTTTAACTTTATATACTTTGTCTAATCACTAGCTGGTATTCTGTGGCTAGTATGTTGTAAAAATAGTGATCATTTTCAAGGTATATCAAACCATTATTCACTGGTAAATAATGGAGGAATTATCCAGAGTGTTTGAAGATGCTGTTTGACTTCGACTCCTCCAATGTCCAACCCAAAGTTACGCCCCTGCACAATCTGCTTTACACCTAATATTAACATCATCTGATGATAAGGACTCTCAATGTGCTGTCTGGTAAATAGTTCCTGTTGTTATCAGTGGAACAGACTCTCATACAGATCGGCTAAACAGTGTGGCGCAATGAATCAGGCCCTCATCTGCTTACATAATCCAAATATCACATAATTGTTTCTCTGAACTCTACCTACAGCTTATTTTTAGCTTGATCCGTCTGGTGCTGATTTGTGTCTCCGCTGATCGTCAGGCACAAAGTGTGTAACACCAGGCTGTGTGCTGTACAATTGTTGTGTAGCCATAAAGTTCAAACTGCTGTTTTCTTCTGCGAAGTTCCTGTTTTAAAATTATTTCTTTATTTCCTGTTAGCGAGGAAAAAAGAAGTGAAAATGAGCTACCAGAAAAGCTTGATTCATTTACATATGCATTTATTTTTCTTTCTTTTGTTTCACAGGTTGTTTTCAAGGCAAAGTCGAAATATTCACCCGAGCTTTTAAGATACAGGTGAGAACAGGAGAGGAGGATCACATACTAGTTTTCATTTTCTGTTTAATTATATTTTCCTATTATTTTTTTTGCAAAAGAAACATATGTACTGCCTTGGCTGAAGTAAAAAAACAATAGTAAATTAAGTATTCAGCGGTTTTTCATGTAAATAATATTTTTCTGTCTTTCCTGACCTGCAGGCTGCCGCTGTACCTGCTCTTCCTGTTCATCAGCCTGGTGTTTCTAGTGGTGAATCTCGTGTGTGCCCTGCTGGTGAGGATGTCCTCCACAGAGGCCCACACCATCGTGCTCGTGAGGGTCGCAATCAACGACACGCTCTTCGTCCTGTGCGCCATCTCGCTCTCCCTGTGTCTTTACAAAATCGCCAAGATGTCGCTGGCCAACATTTACCTTGAATCCAAGGTTAGAGGTCCTGACACAGACGTTATGAACATGGAGTTAAAACAGTAGTTGGCTTTGATGCTCATTTTCTAACTGGTATGAAAAGGCGGAATGTGCTGCATGTAGCACCCTTCAGTGAAGATGCACTCCACCTCATGATTTATGCTTTGTACATAGTGATTGTTCCTTAGCAACAGTGTTGTCTGTGTTCATGACTGGGTTCCCCAAGCTTATAGCACAGTTCAACACCTCTTATGAATGTTATTCTTCACAGTGCATTCAAGGGACAGGTAATGAGGTAACAAGTCTTACATGAAACTCAAGTTTAATTTTTTTTTTTTAAAGTTTCAATTTAGTTTTTGTATAATTTGACAAATGCTTATTCAGAGTTGATCTATTTTCATGTCTCCACACCGATGACAACCAGTGGCCGGAGGCATGATGTTGTATGTGGTCTGTCCCATTCTTGTGAACACAATATCTCAATAACCCCTTGAGGGAGATTCTTTAAATTTGGCACAACTGTTCAGTTGCCTTGTGAAGACAATATCTCAGAATCAACTCCAGGGAATCAGAAATTTGGTTTAAACGTTTACTTAGACTCAAGGATTAAATTATAACGTTTGGGTGGTCCAAGGTAAAAGTCAGTGGCCCCACAAAACTCTTAATTTTGGCCTCTTTAACATGACATCTCAAGTCTGTCTTTTGAAACTCCTATCACTGTACAGGGGACGTCAGTGTGCCAGGTGACGGTCATTGGCGCCATCGTCATCCTCCTGTACTCGTCCAGGGCCTGTTACAACCTGGTTGTCCTGGGACTCTCCAACAAGAGTATCACCTCGTTCGACTACGACTGGTACAACGTTTCAGACCAGGTGAACCACAATGCCTTAAAGGAACAGTTTCATAACTAAAAATAAAGCTACAGCTGCAACGGCTGCCTGTAGCTTTGTGGAAACAGTGCCTTTAACTATTTTGTTGATAAATATGAGATGTGATAATTGAGAGCAGTGGTCGTCGGGTCAGACCAGCTGATTCTACCCACCTGCACTTTGCTTGCATTTTTGGAGGACGCAAACTGATTTATGTTATGAAAACATTGGTCTTATTAATGGTTATTTATCTTGTGATTATTGCCGTTAAAATGAGAGTTTTACATGCTTGGTTAAAATAGTGATCTTTTGAAACGCTTTACAGTTCAGTAATTTGGTATGTCATTTTCTTTCAGGCAGATTTACAGTCCACTCTGGGCGACACTGGCTACATCGTCTTCGGAGTGATCTTGTTTGTGTGGGAGCTGCTCCCCACCTCCCTCGTCGTTTTCTTCTTCAGAGTTCGACATCCTAACCTAGACAGGGTGAGCCAGCGATTACACTGAGCCTGCGGTTCTCTGGTGGATACAGAAAGATGTAAAATGTGACAAGGGCTTTTTTTTGTTGTAAGGCTAACAGGTCGGAACCACGACCCTAAGCCATAAAGAAATGATGAAATACTTTTCTATAGCGCAAACAGTTAGCATCATATAACAGTCTTTGTGATGTCTGATGTTAACTGTTGTGTTTGTGTCTGGCTTGCCCTGCAGAGCGGCTCTGGGCTTCCTGGTCACGTCTTCTCCTCCAGGGCTTATTTCTTCGATAACCCTCGACGTTACGACAGCGATGATGATCTGGCGTGGAGCGTCATGCCTCAGAACATCCAAGCCAGGTAGATAAAGCCCCACTGTCTACACTCAACATGAAAATATATACTAATAGTTTCATGGATGTTTTTTATATTGTTCAGCCTGGCTGCGGACAGTTACGAGTGGGGGAGCCAAAGCAGCAGCATCAGCGCCTACATCGGAGGAGATGAAAGTTACCACCTCCCTCCACCTCCAGAGGAGCTCAGCCATTACTGACTGGAGTTCACAGCGACTCCTGACCTTTCTTTCTTTTTGTATATTTTTGCACAATCTTAATGACCGAGGCACATGGGGCTGGACTTTGCCCTCGACTTCATACTTTCAGTTTTTTATTTTGTCTAGAGAAGAACTAACAGACTTATATGAAGGTCCACTGATGGGGCGTTAATTTTGCACACTCCTTATACAAAGTCTGATCTAATTCTGACTGCTCTTTAACATTTTACATTGTATAGTTTGTATTGAATACTGCTTAATATATTTCCTGGCCTTTGTAATATGAAGTGTATTACTATTTTATGTCTATGAACATGTTTTTTTTCATACAGATTGTTTATATAGAGAAGATATTCATGTAATTCATATTAAAAACATTTAAATGTGAAAATGTACTTAACTGTTAACATTTCTCCAGAAATAATGATAAACATTGTTCATGTTTAAGAATTAATCAACAGATTTCACTTTCCACGCACATACATTCTCATCAACACACATACTGTATATAAATACATATATATAAATATTTTGTGCACACACACTATTTTTAACTATAACTACAAGCATTAATCGTAACGATAGCTTTAACTGTGGTTCAGAGTTGGACATAAGAAGCTCAAACCTTCTGACAAGGAACATTCATTATAAGAAAAAGACGGTGAATTTATTTCTCAGGTCTCCGCATTTTATTGATGAGTTGTTTTCATTCTAAGAGCACTAATCACATTATGTGCTATGGACATTCACAGCAGTTAATACTTTAAAGTTTAGCAAGGAGCCGGTTGTTTGGTTACTAAACAGGAAGATCCTCACTGTGTGTCTGCGTGTTTAGTGATTGTCTAGGAAAAAGTCTGTATACGTTTAAAACATTTTTTAAAATTTAAATATTAAATCAAAGACTGAAAATGACAAGTCTGGAAAATCACTTGAAACTGTTTATGCAATAACCTCATGGTTGATAGTGTCATTTAGCTTCTGATCAAACTATCCAGCTAATTATTGTAAGTATGATGATCACACATGTGTGTTCGTGAGATAATACTGGTTGTCTAACAAATGTGTTTTTCTGAATGTGAAGTATCTCATTTTCTCAATTGATTGTATTTCTCCATAGAGTGACAAAATTACAGACAACAGGTGCACCACAGTTGGTTTCCTGCAGATGGCAGCATGGAGCTGTGTAAAGTGCAAACAGGAGGGCAGGTGAGGCTACAGGCAACCGTGTCCTTTACCCACAAGTCACAGATCAATGTGCGATTATTGAAAAATGTGGATAAGGAGGACGACAAATGACACAGTTTGCATTTTCTGTGCGGCAAATGAATGAACTCAAACTAAGACAAATGATGTTCTGTCAATAAAAGGGTGTTTTTAATTCAGATCATTCCTCGTATTATTGCAAACTCAAGCATATTTTGCCATACAGTATCTTGCAAAAGCTGATTCCATGTGAAAAGCATAACACATTAAGCATATGCAGAACACTGTACCTTTTAAGGAATTAACTGCAAAAACATATATGCAAAAAAGGATGTAGATTCTCTCCGAGCTCCAGTTTGAAGTGATGCTCTGAAAATGTCAGCTATATAACATAAGCGTTCTCCACCGCAGAGGTGAAAAAGACAAAAAGATCCCTTTCAGTACAATGTCATGACATTCAAGGTCTACTGGGTTGCCCAAGTTTATTGAAAATGAACAGAAATCACTGTGTTGGTTTTTTCGTCTCCACAAGCACAGATCTTCCGCCCACTCAAGCAAAAAGTCTGCAGTCTTTGTAAAACACACACACGCTCTCTACAGGCCACTTTCTTAGGATAGAGCACTTAATGGTTGTTTGTGGGGAACGCAAGGATCCCATTAGCTGGGATCTGATGGTTTGTCGAGTTCAACCTTTACTCCTTTTTCACCTGCACACAAACAAAGCACAAACACAAGACATGAAGTAAACACTAAAAGGGCTGCAACATCATAAACGGATTCATGTGGTTTGTTGATCAGATTTCACCTGTTAAGTACTTTTCTTTAGCTCTGGCTCGCTCGTCCGCATCAAAATACCACACTGTGATGGCATACCTGCGGAGACAGAAGCGAAGAAGTGGTGAGCTGGTGCAAAGCATTTGGGATCGTCTGAGTGTGAGCAGTGGACAGACTTGGGACACTGACCTTGTGGAGAAGGCGGGCTGAACCTCGTGAGGGTTCCGTCTGTCTGACCAGAACAGCAGCAGACGGTCGAATTTGGGCTCTATGTCAGCAAACTGGGCCTTTCCTTCTGGGAAGATTCGAAGAAGGCCACCGTGTTCCTGGAAGAGCAGAACAAGAAGAAGGAGCGACCCCATTATATTCACAAATCAGGACAAAGCAGTCTCAGGAAGGTAAAGAGAGAGAGAGGAGGAAGTGAAGCCTCCGCAGTGATCATGTTTGTGGATTTGATTCCTGATCGTGTTAATCCACATTCAAAATACACACTCACGAAAAGGAGATAAAATACCCTGAAATCTACATATATCATTCATATAATACCAATATGTGAGGCTCGTTAAATGATCAACATGGGACGACAATGTTAAAGGAAAAGGGTTGTCCAACTTCAGGGGCTAAGAGGAAAGCTCAGGATAGGAAGCAGCAGTGGGGGACGGCCTTCCTGTGGAGGGATAGGAAGAATAACCCACAGGAAAACTGCTCCGACTGGATAAAGGACCTGGAGAGTGAAAAAGCAGATTGCTGCAAGCGTGCCACATTAACTTTCACACAGCTGATATGATAGGCCCCTCTCTTCACACGCAAACCAGCCGAGCAGAGGTTCACACCCTTTGTTGGAAAAGTAATGCTATAACCATTTATACTACTCTGAACGAGGGGGAATGCCGGTGGTGTGATGAAGCTAAATAAAGCACAATAGGGTCAAAGAAGACAGGGAAACTCTTTTTTTCTCCCCTGCAACACGTAAGCAGCTCAAGGACCACTGATGTTGACAATTGTTAAACTGCACGTAAAGCCAGAGATGGAGGCCGCATTTGGCATGGATTAGAGTGACCACATGTTGACCCTCGCCTGCAAGACATGACCTTCTGACCCACATCACGCTGAAGTGGACTGATGATGAATGACAACACCTACAACCCAAACCAAAATAGACGCTGACCATGGAATGGAATTGGAACAAATACACTCTATTGCAGTTTTTTGTAGCTGTTAAATATTTATGTAATACAATGAGGAGATGAATTTGTAGTGTGAGAGCTCTATAGTGAAAGCTGATCTTTGCGATCAGAGCACAAACCATTGTCATCAGACTCTGCAGCTTCACTCAGTTTGTTTTGACTGTCTGGCCCACTCACCTTCACATGGCCAAAAGGTTGATATTACAGGTTAATGCAAGTTCAAGCAAATATTTGAAACCTTATTAAATTCCCATCCTCCACTTTGGGTCCAGATGTAAAGATGTTTTATTTCTGTAATTCTAAATTTAATATCTTTGATTTTTCTCCCCTGGGTAAGACAAAACAATATCAACTAAATGTTAGTCAACTAGATCAGTAGAGAGCAAACCTCTGCCAAGCACCAACCGTCTCCTTGAATTTATTCAAGCTACACTAAGTTAATATCAGTTACCTAGATGGGCCAGATGTTTTTCCATCAGGATTCATGAACTATTCCCAGGGAATATATATACATATATATATATATATATATATATATATATGTATAAAAGCACCTTATCTCGCAATGTTTGAAATTTCCTGGATCTGCCAGATCCGCACCAAACCGATACGACATCCTTAAAGATTTGTGGTCCAGTAGTTTCTGAGTAATTTTGCTTACTAACAAACCAATAAACAAACAAACAGACAGGGTTGAAAAACATTTCAATTTGTTTCCATTAGTTGATCAGCTAGTTAGCCCAGTACTGGAACACCAATGCAGTATGCTCCCATGTGGACCCTGAATAACAGGCACACTGAGAGGGCCAGTTAAGAGATTAACAGGGCTGGTGAAAAGGTTATTAGATTCTTATGATGGCGCACTGAACTCGAATGTTTTCCAATGGTCAATACACCACTGTTCAAACACAATTTTTTTTTTTTTTGAAAAGTAGGATGGTATGACACATGGACAGAGCGCCTCCTCTTTTTTTCAACCATGCACTTCTCATGGGTTTTAATGTAAAAACGGTGGCTGCAGCAGAGAAAAGGTGTACAATGTGTAGCTATATGCCCTCAGCATACATGAAGATTTGCATTTGAGTCCTTAACTGCCTGTTTACCCTTCAAATAGCCATTATTCTACATCTGTCAGTCTCAAACAGCAGCTGAGCTCGCTCACATGTCTCATCTCCCTCCCCCTTCAGATCTAACTGATCTCATACATGACCTCTCTGGAATCCGATTGACAGGAATCTGTCATCGTGACGGAGAACTCTGATCTCTGTACCAGAATGAATGTTTATCAATCACAACAATGTTTGCAGTGAATCAGGTTCCACACTGGTGTAGCTTTCATTTAGTGTCTAACGACCGGTGAACTGTTACAACATGTTGGGGTCGGACATGTCTGGAATGATGACGATTACTAATCATGAATGAAACAAAGAGTGGGGTGTATGTGCGTGTTTGGCTCAGTACAATATGTACTGTACAGTGTGTGATAGACTGGGAACCTCTCCTTGTCCCTCACTCATTGCATTCTGGGATAAACCCCCCTGCAACCCAGAACAAGATAAGTAGTTTGGAAAATGGACATGTGGATATAACACATCACATTAATGCACTGTACTTTTGCCTCTTAACATACAGTATTTTATAAAAAGCAGAAGTTACAGCGTACCCCTCTTATCATAGAAATTTCAACACTGAATAGCATTTCTTTTTTTTGACGTGTACTTTGAACTCTTCAACATGTGTTGAACAGACTCTGCACTTGTAACATAGAGCATAGGATTTCTAGTGGCTGATTAATTTCCTTCCACAGCTTTCTGCTTGCCTGTATATTCATCCTCCCACTAGTGCAGCTCGTTTCTTTCTGCTTTTCCACATGCGTGCATGGTGAACACTTCAAGTTGTGGCGGGTCACACACACAAAACTTCAGTATCTCTTTAAAATCATAAATGCAGTAAACTATATGTAACTACTTTGCAATTTTGAGCTGAAATATTAATTACACACTTTTGATTTACAATATACATACAGCTGACCCTTTAGGGATAAATGACTGGAACAACTGAACTTGAACATTCCAAAGCCATGTCATTCAGGAAACCCCGGTATCTAGGCAACCACATTCTATAACGGACCGCTCATCACAACCCTAATAATTCAGCCAATCAGAGACCTGATTATAATTATTCACATGTCCGACGGGCTACGAGAACATGGCTCATTTGAATAATTGGAGCTTGTGCATGAGCATAACAATAGCAATCACGCAGCAACTTAGAAGATTAACACAGGGGCAGCCACCTGATGTGGAAAACATTTCATATACACGTTAACAAGCAAAAGCTATGACTGTGCTGAGTGAGTGCTGGTGTCACACAGGACTCGACTATTAAGATATAAAACACTGCTACATAGGTGTGTCACTGGTTATCAGAGGGTGAGGTGACAACACTTAGATTAGTATGTTTTCATAGCAACACAAGACAACCAATATTCTTCACAACAAGCCAAGTCATTTGTGCCCAAGTTGCAGCTACAAAAAAAGAAACCAAGTGTTTACTGGTTATATAAAACATAGACGGAAACTGTCTTGAAACCATGGCAACTGCATCAATAGAGAGGAGGAGCAGCGGCCACAGTCTGAAATGAACCAGGGACATAATGGAAGTGTAAGTACATCATTTAGCAATGGTGTTGCAGTTAGTTCACATTTTAAGTGATTTAAAACAAAGCTGTTATTTAAAACTGAAGACAGGTCTCAAATCCCTGTATATTTGTTTGCCTTGTCACCTGTAAGACTGCTAAAAATAGCCATCCTGTCTTTAATAGTGGCTAAAGTCAGAGGACAGACTCATGCTTTCTAGTATCTAGCATCCAGAGCTAAAAAAATATTTATTAATATAAATTCCATATAGTGTATAGGTCAGGAGTTAAAGTTTAGAAAATATTCACTT